CGGGTCACATCCTGGCCACGCCAGGTATGGGGGAAGGCACTGGCAGCGGAGGGGCAGGGAGAGCTGCGCTGGGCTCTGTCCGTGCCTGGGTGGGGGGGTTTGGGCAGCCACCCCAGCCCTTTGGGAGCCCAGATTTGATGGGGGGGACCCATCAGCAGGTCCGTGCCCGTGGGGCTGTGGGACGGCTTGCAGCACCCTGGGCAGGACAGGAGCCAGGCACGTGGCTCGGTCCGTGGCTCCCACCAGCCCCGCAGCACCCTGAGCCGCCCCCACTCTGCCCATCCCCGCAGGGGTCTGTAACGTGGACCACCAGAACAAAGCCGGCTACACCGCGCTCATGCTGGCAGCGCTGGCGGCTGTCGAGCAGGAAGATGACATGAACGTGGTCAGGAGGCTCTTCAGCATGGGCAATGTCAACGCCAAGGCCAGCCAGGTTGGTGCGGGCTGGGGGCCACCATGTCCTGACCCTCTCCCCCCACCCCCAAGCAGCTGCCAGGGCCACGCTCGGCTCCTCCGAGGGCAGGACTGCGGCTCCAAAACCCACAGGGGCTGGCACGTGGGGAGGGCATCCCATTAGGAGCAACTTCTGCCTGGCATCAGGGCTCTCGGGTCTCACCCACGCCTCATCTCCAGCCAGGAGAGACCATGGGGGCGCTGGGGACAGCAGCGGTCCCTCCCCAGGGCAGTGGGAAGAGTTTCCTCGCAGGCTGGCCAGACGGCGCTGATGCTGGCCGTCAGCCACGGCCGCCAGGAGATGGTGGAAGCCCTGCTCGCCTGCGGAGCTGACGTGAACCTGCAGGACGAGGAGGGCTCAACTGCGCTGATGTGCGCCTGCGAGCACGGCCGCGTGGAGACGGTGAAGCTGCTGCTGGCTCAGCCCACCTGCAACATCTCCATCGTGGACAGCGTAAGTCTCTCTCTGCTGCTGGGGCCCGGGCACACTCGCCCACCCCGCGTCCCCTCCCCAACTGCTCTCCCTTCCTTCTTAGGACGGTAACAACGCCGTCGCCATCGCGCTGGAGGCCGGCCACAGCAACATCGCCGTGCTTCTCTACGCCCACCTCAATGGCACGAAGGCGCAGCTGCCCGTGAGTACCGCAGCCCCCCCAGCTCCTGCCACCTGCCCCAAAGGGCCACGGAGGTGGCACCGTGCCACGGTGGGCAGGTGGCCCCGTGGGAGGGGACAGGGCTGTGACACAGATGGTGCTCCCCACGTGCCACATGCTCGGTGCATCCTCAGTAGCAGGGAACCAGCCTGGCTGGCCCTGACCGGGAGTCACTGGAGGGGTTTCTGGTGACATTTCGTGACTCTGCTCTCTCTGCAGCAGGGGACATCACCGACAGCCACGAAGAGCCCTGGGAGCCCAAAGAAACCAAATTAGAGTGACCTTCAGATCCAGCCAGGGGCCAGCCAGCCACCGTCAGCGCTAGGCTGCAATTTGTGTCCCCTCTCCTGCCACGCCTTTGTGCACCGAATCGCTCTCTGCAGCCACTTTAACCTCCTGTCACTAGAGCAGGCGCCGTCCCTGGGCCTCGCTCGTCCCTGCTGCTGAAGGGGCCCACACACGGCCACCTCACTCCACCAAGTGACAGGAGCCAAGCACCAAGTGACCTTGGGGTGGAAACGCAGCAAGCGGACACCAGCTCTGTCCCCTCTGCTCCCCACCGTGGCCTCGGAGCCCTCTGCGAGTTGCGTACTCACTGGAAAAGCAGAAAACAAACCCAACAGAAACAGCAGCTGGTTTCTGCTCTCCCAGCCAGCTCCCAGCAGCTCCAGGAAGGCAGCGGAGGCGGTGATGAGGAGCAGGCAGGGCTGCAGGAGGGCAAGCGTCAGCTCCTGGACGCTGCCGTGCTACGCGGTGCCGGCGGGGAAGCCGGTGCTCAGCCGGCAAGTCCTGCACAGCAATGGGAGAGGGGAGACAAACCAGCTGGGTAACGCTGCCTCGGACGTGGGCTGGGAGCACTTCCAGACTGGAATACTTGCCCTTCCTTTGTGGCATTTCCTTTCCTGGCTGAAATCTGATTTTTTTCTAGCACACACACACAAAGCAAAAAAAAAAAATTATGTTGCTTATTCAAAGGATGGAGTTCAACATGAAATCAGTTTGATTTGCTCCATGGGAGCAAAACTTCTGGGCAGCCGGGGCCGCAGCTGAGCTGACAGAAGGGGGCTGAGAGCCACAAAGGCATTCAGGGCCTGAGACTGCCCGGCCGATACCCAGACGGGGAGCGGGGACCTTCCCCCAAGGGAACGACAGCGGTTACCTCCTAAACATTTCCCATTTTAAACAGTCTCACAGCCAGGGACTGCGAAGGCAACCAGAGCCCACAACCAAGTCCCTCTCTGCCCACTTTCCTTTCCCAAAGGGAGGAGAGCGGCCGAGGATAGCTCCAGGAAAAAAAGATGGAGAAGAAGAGCTCAGAGAGAGCCTAGGGCCCACGGAGATGGAGAGGTTATGTCGGAGAACGTGTGCGTCTGTGCGAGTGTGTGTGCACCAGGTGGGGTGGGAACAGACAAGGTAAGGACTGAGGACCAGGAGGAAGGAGAAGGGCTTTTGCATGTGAAGCTGGCTCTGCTCTCCGAATCCTTCACGAAGGTAGCGCGTGTCGCAGCCCCCATCCCCGCTCCCCGGCCCAGCCTCCCCCACCATCACTTGCCCTGCACAGGCCTGGTCTGAGCCATGCTCCAAGCTGGGAAATGCTCCCCAAGAAACTCGTTCTGGGCAAGACGCTGCCGTCCTCACAGCGGGCCTGGTTCAGCTTTGCACTGAAGTTAACATACGATGCTCACAGCCACTCCCTAGTACGCTGCTCCCTATGTATTCCCTACTCACTGCTTTGGTTTCACATGTTTGTTTACTGATATTTTAATACTGATGTTTATTTTTAAGATATAAATAAAATTTGAAGTAAAATTATTTTGAAATATTACAGTGACCATCAGCGGTTTCCTGCCTCCTTGTCTGGCTCAAGCTAAATCCCCCAGCACAGCTTCAGCCTAGCACAGCCCTCGCCCCGAGCCGTTGCCCGCACGTTTCGTTCCCTGCAAGTTTATGACCCGGCTACATCCATCCGTCCAGTTTGCTTCCAGCTGAACTGTCCCTGTCAGGAGCCAGACTTAGGTACTGTGGTTTCTGCCCTGTTCCGCTTCACAGGACCAAGCGGGACGCAGGGACCCTTCGCTACCCCTGGTTCACCCGGGTGCTCCGATATTAAGCTGCGTTATTAAAGGCCAATCATCGGATTGAGCGTGGGGATTCACGGTCACCTCCCTCCTCACGTGGCCAAGGGCCGCGCCAACCCCACAGGGATATTCAGGAAGGGCTACAGCTGCCCCGAGCCAGCCCCACTACAAGTTTACCTCTGCCTGGCCACCGACTCACAGCTGATGCCTCCTGTCTGGGTCTCTCAGCACAGGCAGGGCTGGCAGCCGCCAGAGCAAACGCTCGGTCACTGCTAAAGCTGTGCGGCGAACAAACGGCAGCCAGAGAAGCTGAGGTGAACTTCTTGCACTCATAGCTAGTTCCCGAGAGCTCTGCTGCATCACACAAGTCAGGGGAGCACGGACTCACCCGATGCTCTGAAACACCACCGAAGAAGAATCAAGAACGAGCCCAAGCAGCAGCATGAGCACACATTGATGGGGGCTTTCTCTAGAGCACAAAATCCACCTCGTGCCACCCTTGAGCTGACCAGGGCACAACGAACACCCGCTGGAGGGAAAAAACCCACAAACACTCTTGGCAGCCGCCAGAGCAAACGCTCGGTCACTGCTAAAGCTGTGCGGCGAACAAACGGCAGCCAGAGAAGCTGAGGTGAACTTCTTGCACTCATAGCTAGTTCCCGAGAGCTCTGCTGCATCACACAAGTCAGGGGAGCACGGACTCACCCGATGCTCTGAAACACCACCGAAGAAGAATCAAGAACGAGCCCAAGCAGCAGCATGAGCACACATTGATGGGGGCTTTCTCTAGAGCACAAAATCCACCTCGTGCCACCCTTGAGCTGACCAGGGCACAACGAACACCCGCTGGAGGGAAAAAACCCACAAACGCTCTTTCAACACCGGCCCTACCTAACAGCAATCCTCATGATCTGCCCAAGTTCAGCGACTTGAACATCTCTTCCAGAAGTGCTCTCCTCAGCTTTAGGATACTCAAACCCTCAATCCCACCGGCTGCTAGCGTGCCTTAAGCAAGTGCAGGACACCGAAGGATGAAGAACGCTCCCAACAGGAACAATCCCACAGGATCAGGAGCCGCAGGCCCAACTCAGCTCAAAGTCACCACAAGCCACTATCAGTCTATGACCAGATGCAAAATACCAGTACTTAAAAACCAGCCCTTGAACCGTGACAGTTTTCAGGCTCATTCCTAATCCTTTCAGCCTTACTTTTACTTGATACAATAACCTACACCAATAAATCTTTCTAGCTGATCACGTGGTGGAAGGGAAAGCTGAGGAAGAAACTGAGACCTTTACTAACTCCTCTAAAGGGAGAGAGACAAGCACTCGCTCTCTGCGGGTGACTGCCAGGAGCGAGGGCAAGCAGGTATATTTATAGCAGCATTTACAGAATAGCTTACTGAGGACAGAAAGACAGAAGCAGCAGGCTGTTGCTTTGCAAGCTGGTACAAAGATTGACTTTCAACTTGTCATTAAATTCCACAGAAGCCCAGTAAGTTTAGCAGTGCCGCTTTACCAGTTACGTACAGAAAAACACTTGCCAGAAAGGTTGGGATTAAGGTTGCTGTAATCAAAAGAGAGAGTTATTTGTGTTGAAAGCGACAAGTTAATAAAAATGCAAGAACACAGTAATATTATGATGAAGGCAGTATGTGCAGCCGCAGTAACAAGGAGGGCGTGCTTCTGTCCTCTGCTGAACCCCACAACAAAAGGCGGGCGCGCAAGTACTGAGACAAACAGAGCACTCGCACATTCAGTAAGTGCGACCGAGGCGAGGGACTACTGGAAAAAACCTTTATTGCAGTAAGGCAACCGCCACGCTCCTCTCCGTCCCCGACCCACGCCTGGCCGAGCAGACGCCAGCCGGCCGCTCCGAGCACACGCCGCAAGGCTCCATCTCCTGCAAGAGAACGGGTTGAAGCCACGGCCCCGTCCCAGCGCGGGGCCTCAGGCGCGGGGAGGCCGCTCAGGCCCCGGGCGGCCCCGGACTCACCGGCTCAGCGCAGCCGCCGGGCTTCGCGCTCCGACTCCAGCAGGGTGAGGACATCGCCTTCGCGCACCGGCCCCTTGACGTTGCGGATGATGGAGCGGCTCGTATCGTCCATGAACTCCACACGCACCTGCGGCGGCGAAAAGGCCTCAGCCTGGCGGCCACCATTTCCCGCCCAGGCACAGCGCGGCCTACTCACCTGCGTGCACTGCCCCTGGGAACCGGTCCGGCCCAGCACCTTGGTTACCTGTGAGGGAGGGGGAAAAAAAGGGGGTGAGCGCACATTCCCAGTCCCAATCCCAGTCCTCCCAGTCCCAGTGCTCCCACCCTGGCCAGCTTGATGGGCTGCACGCGGCTGGTATCCATGGCGGAGGAGGAAGGGAGCGCTGCGGCTCAGCGCGGCCTTATATAGCGCCAAAAATGTCGCGAGACCCAGCCTGCTCCGCGCTCCCCCGGCACCGCCCCCCCGCTTCCCTGTCCTTCACAGCGGCCAAGATGGCGACGGCCACTCGCCTCGTCCAGCGCTTCCGAAACTTCTTGGCGGGGGTAAAGGGGTTTCGACCCCCCAGCGCCCGTGGGGGAGCCGGGCGATGCGCACCCCCGCGGGACGCTGCCT